TCAAAAAAGGAAAAGTGTCAAACAAAAAAGGAAAAGTGTCAATCAAAAAAGGAAAATTCCCAAAAGAAAAGGAAAAGGGTCAATAAAAAAAGGAAAATTCCCATTCAAAAAGCAAAATCGTAATTTTTTTATAATTTTTCTTAAATTTTATTTATTTTTTGTCATTCCTTCTTATTTTATTCCTAACTTTTTGCTATTTCTTTACTTTATTTATATCTTTTCTCAATTTATTTTTCTTACTATATCTTTTCTCTATTTCTTTTCTTCTCATTTTTGATAATTCTTTTTTAAAATTATATTATTTTTTTTGGCAGACTATTTTTTACATACATATTTATAATTACAATATTAAATTAATCGTTTGGTTATAATAAATAAGTTTGAACTGTAATACCAAACGATATGTAAATTAATAAAATATAATCATTTTAAAATTCTTATATTTTTAAAATTTTAATATATTCAAAACGCATTTATTCTTTTTAGCAAGTAAATAATTATTCTGTAATTTAATTATCTTTTAAACTATTTTGATTTATGAAAAATTAAACGCAAATGAGGTAAATTTTATAATCTTTTTCACTTCCATTTGTTGAGTATATACTTTAAAAATAAATTTTTTTGTTTTAAAAAATAAAATTATGAAGATATGGTAAAAAGGGGAAAAAATATTAACAGTGAAACAAAAGCTCTAATAATTGACGCACTAAAAAAGATAGTATCAAAAATATAGCATCATGTTTTAAAGTAAGCTATAAGACAGTGACAAATATTAAATACTCTCATCTCAAAAATGGAATAAAATGTAGCTTACCCAAAGGAGGTTCACGCGCACGCAAGAAATTAAATAAAGAGCAGGAAGAATATATATTAAATTGTATAAATTTGGATTGCACTTTATCCTTAAAAAGGTTATGTGAAATCATTAAAGAAAGATATGATGTGGAAATATCAAAAAATACGGTATCAACATTACTCTCAGGATTTAGGTACAGCTTTAAAAGAGTATCATTACGTTCAGTTAGAGAAAATAACGAATTAAATATAGAGATTCGCAAAGAATACGCGAATAGGTTTGTAGATGTAGTATATATGAAGGAAAAATTTATATTTATCGATGAGAGCGGGTTTCCAATATTAATGAGTCGATTATATGGATATTCCCAAATAAATAAAAAGGCAATTAAAAATTTTCAAGGAATAAAGACAATAAATTACACTATCATTGCGGCTCTCACAATTGCAGGAATATTTCGATTCAAAGTTCTTGATGGCCCTTGAAATGCTATATATTTTAGCAACTTTATAAATGAAATATTAAATCATTTTGAAGAATCTAACATGATTAATATGATTTTTGTGATGGATAATGTTCCATTTCATCACAATCATTCAATTAGGGAATCGATCGAAAGAAAAGGACATACATTGAAATATTTACCACCCTACAGTCCGTATCTTAATCCTATTGAGAATGTGTTTTTTCAATGGAAGGATTTTGTCAGAAATAAAAATCCTAGTAACGAGGAAGAATTAATTCGTTATATAGAACATGGAGAAAGAGGAATATCTGAAGAAAATGCAAAAAATTATTTTAGAAATATGGAGACATATATCCCAAAATGTAGAAGGGGAGAAATTATTAATGATTAATATAAATTTTTGTTTAGTACTATATTAAATATATATCGTAATTGTAATTAAATAATTTCATATGTAAAAAATTATAATAAAAAAGTTGTCTGCCAATAATTTAGTGAAAATTAAATATACTTACAAAAAGAATTATCAAAAATGAGAAGGAAAAAAATTGAGAAAAGATATAGTGAGAAGATACAAATAAAATAAAGAAATCGCAAAAAGTTAGAAATAAAATAAGAAGGAATGACAAAAATAAATAAATTTAAGAAAAATTGAAAAGTTTATATATATTTTTAAAAAATTACGATTTTCCTTTTTTGAATGGGAATTTTCCTTTTTTGATTGACCCTTTTCCTTTTCTTTTGGGAATTTTCCTTTTTCGATTGACACTTTTCCTTTTTTGTTTGACACTTTTCCTTTTTTGATTGACACTTTTCCTTTTTTGATTGGACTTTTTCCTTAACCTTTGGGACTTTTCCTTTTTTGATTGACAATTTTCCTTTTTTGATCGGACCTTTTCCTTTTTTGATTGAACTTTTTCCTTTTTGTTTGACACTTTTCCTTTTTTGATTGAACCTTTTCCTTTTTTGGATGGGAAACCCTGTATTTTGAAATTTAATCGAATATATCTTTTTTATTTTAAAACCAAAAAGTCAATATCAAATCATGAATAATATACAATATAAAATTATTTCATTAAAACTAAAACTCTCCCCTTGTTTTTTTTAATCAAATAATTAAAATATCAGAGTTGTTAAAGTAGCGCGCTATCTTTTTTGGTAGCTATAACTAATAGCCGCTACTTTTTTAAAATTATTTAATTTTTTAGCGCGCTACTTCGCTACTTTTAAAAAATATAATGAATGTAAGTATAAACATGAAAATTTAAATATAATATCATAATTAATTATAATTTTTATAATTTATTATTTAATTTTGAAATTTAAATATATTTTCAATTTTTAATTTATATTTTCAATCTGTGTTAATAATCTAAAATGGCATTGTCCATGGATATCCAAATCCTTGAAAGTGATTCAGATATGGAAGATTTAATGGAAGAAAATGTACTTAATAGCTCTAATAACGTTTTTCCATTCCCTAAATTTGAAAAATTTTTTAAAATAAATATTAAAACAAAATCTGGATTCAAATTCATGTGCTTAAAATGTAAAAAAAATATATCATCAAATCAATCAAGTAGCTATAACCTGAAGAAACACCTAAAGGTAAATTGTTATTTTTACATTATAATATTATTTATTTTATTAGACTGTTCACGCCAATTGCTATAAGGAAATAGAGAAACATATAAAAAATTTTGGTATAGGAGAATCTTCATTCAAAAAGACAAATACTATCCAAACCAAATTAACTGATAATAAACATGCCAATATTTCACAAAAATTGGCTGATAAAGTTATTGTTGATTTTATTATTGACACAGTTCAGCCAGTGTCTTTGGTTGATAATCCATCATTTACTCTGATGATTAAAACTTTATCCCCTGGCACAACAGTTTTATGTCGCCAGACACTTATGAATAAAATAGCCGACAACTTCAAAGTGATGAAAGATGCTCTAATAGTAGAGTTATCAGATATATCTTATGTATGTACCACGGCAGATAGTTGGACACATAACAGAAGGTAAAAACTTATTTATATTTATAAATTGATCTGATTATATATTTTTAGAGCTTATTTGGGAATCACAGGCCATTGGTTAGACCCTAGGACTTTAAAAAGAAGATCTACTCCAACAAACATAGATTGCCGAGTATCTACCACGAAGACATCCTCAAATAATTTTTTTGAAATTAAAGATGATTTAATAGAAAATCCAATTGATCTTTTTTTTCAATCAAAAAATATTGAAATGAATATTTTTGATAATTTTTCATATATTAAAAATTTATATATAAAATTTAATACCCCCTTGCCCTCAAGTGCTAGTGTCGAGAGATTATTTAGTAAAGCAAAGCTTATACTTTCTGGTCGTCGCTCTAGACTTGGGGATGATAATATTGAAATGATATTATTATTAAAATGCAACAAATTAAAATAAATATTTATTTATATTGCTTATTTTTTTATAATCTAAACTAACTATATTTTTATATTTATAAATGTTGATTTTTATATATTATTTATTATACATTTACATTATAAGCAAAAAAAAAATAAAAAAATTTGTTTCATTTGTTTCTAAATTTTTTTTTATAAAAAGTAGCTAATAGCGCGCTACTTTTTTTGACAAATAGCGAAAGCGGTAGCGCGCTACTTTGTTTGACAAATAGCTATTACGGTAGCGCGCTACTTTTAAAAATAGCATTTAACAACTCTGTAAAATATAAACAAATTACATATAGAATTGTAATAAAAAAACAACATTATCAACCAAGGACATTGGCTGAACCTTGTCAGTTATAAAATCGGCAATGGCTTTATCATCATTAGAAACATATAAATATATACTTTAATCAATATGGTTCAAATAAATACGTTTTTTGGGGTTTTGTCTCCTCGATGACAAAATTATTCAGATATTTTTCTCTTTTCTTAAATTGTTGTCATAAACATTCTAAATAAAAAACTATTAGAATTTATAAATAAATAACATCTTAAGTTGTTTCTTAAGGTTATAACTGCTAGATAGAATACATTTTTCCTGCAATTAAACATCCAAATTTATAGACAACTTTTGTTTTTCTATTAAGTATGTCTCACAGTTAAAGTATATGACTAAGACGAAATCATTCTTAAGGGACGATTAATTTTGCACGGCCATAACTGAGACTCAAAAAAATCCTTATCCCATCAATAATACTGAAAATAATGATCAAAAATCAAATCTATTGACTCTTAATGATCAAGACTGTTTGCCTTTCCTTCACTGATTGCATAAGGCAAACTTTATATTTAAAGTATAATAAATGACTACAATTTAAGTTTATCAGCCACACCTATACACCCCTCGCACTCGATAATAGATTAGAATAGAATTAAGACAAATATAAAAAGTATTATAAGTAATCTTAGAATGGAATATATTCATTAATTTAATTATTATATATATATTCGATTATAACTTCTTGTGTAAATTTAGCCATTGCCCAATATTTTGACTACAATTATTTATTACATCTACATTGCAAGATAATTGATCTAAAAAATTAAGCCTAATGATTCTTAAATTAATTTATTTTAACACAATATTTTGGCGATAACTCAGCTCTATTCCTGTTTAACTAATTTCCCTCTAAAATCGCCGCGATAATCCCGGTTAAATCGGAATTGTCTCACAACTCTAAAGAATGATATCATGCTTTCATTTTTTCTATAATACATTTATATTAGGAATTACTTAAACGATAGTTATAAAACCAATGTTTACGTGCGATTTCAGCCTCCTAGTATAGCTTGTGCTTGTATATTTTTATCTGCTCGTCACCTACAGGTATAAATTTATACAATGGTATATTTTTTTATATAAACTTTTTATTAGTTTCCATTACCCAATAACCCTCCATGGTATAAAATATTTAATGTAACCCTCGAAGAAATACAAGAGATTAGTTTGCAATTATTTAAGTTATATACTAGAACCCAAGTTACCTAATTAAAGTTATTATTAATACATTCTTATCTATATTAGATTTTGCTTAAAAATATTGACAAAACATTAAATGTTTCAAGGAAATTGTATGAACTAAATAAAATTCAAATGTTAGCTAATGATGCTGCATCCTCAACCACTCTCTCTGCTACATTTTCAGAAGTTGTTACATATAACCCGAAGGGTAATTTTATAAATAAATAAATTATAAATATGGCTTATTAGATGCATCCGCGGAAGAAAATCCTACAATTATAGATGAAAACACAAAAAACATTAATTTTACCAAAATACAACCTGATAATTCATACTTAAATGCAATTGACAGTGATAACTTGTTGTTAGCACAACAGAGACTTTCTTTATTGTATTCCATTCAAGAACAAAAAAAGAAAAAAAAGTATTTATCACTCGATAGTTCCAAAAATGACTATTATAAATCAAAAATAAAAATTAAAAATGTTTCTCCTAATGATATTATTTCAAAATCATCCAAAGCACATTCTCAAAAAAATAGGAAGGTCGAAAAGTTAAAAATTGGTAAAGATGAAGTGCGCAAGGCTTCAAACAAAAGGGCACAAAATTTTGACACCCAATTTAAACCTAATGATTTTTCTACCGGGAAAAAAAGAATATTAATATCTTTAAACAACTCGCCCACGTCATCATCTTCTTCAAAAGTTATCAAAAGTAAAGGCCATGAATCTATTTCTAAAAAGAAACACAAGAAATATTAATATAAAATATTCTTTATTTTTCCTGTAATTATTTATAGCAATATTTCTATTGTTGGCTCGTTTTACATATTTTACCCTTAAGGCCAAAATAAAATGAGGCATGCATAATATAATCTATATTATTTAAAGATTTTATTTGTAATTTATGTTAAAAATACTGGTTATACAAAGTTTTATAAACTAAATTGCTTTTAACATTATTTTGATCTAGCCTTCTTCCTTATTTTTTATTTTAATGACATAGGGGAGGGCTAGTCGGCGCAAGAGGCTTGTCGGTTCAAAGGATTTTATTTTAAAACCAGTAAACATTAAAATTTGAAATTTAGTTCTAAAATAGAATTCTATAATATCCATAATTGGGACGAAAATAATTTATAATATTTAGCTGTTTAAATTTTTATCCGTTGTGTTATGACATGTTTTTGACGTAAAAATTACAATATTTTCACTTAATATTATTAGGTTGTATTAAAAAATTAAAAGTTTAAACATGACAAATGAACATTATAAAAGTTAAATATCTATTTTAATATTTGGGAAAGTTTCAGACTGATATATAATGCTTAAATATATGTTAAAATCAAATTAGTAAAATTACCACCATTGAGGTTAGTAGAATCGTGGCTAGTCGGCACAATCAGTCAATTTTTATTATATTATTATGGTACTCAAATATATATGCAAAATTCAAAATAGTAAAATTTTTACTGAAAAAAGATTATGAAGAAACTATAAAACTGTATGAAAATGATATCTCATTAAGAAAAATACCATTTATTACGGGTTAAAATATAATATTTTATAAATGTAATATATTAAATAATAATTATTATATAAATTTATTAATGTGATTGATTTTTCATAGTACATTTCAATTTTAATATAATATCAGACCTAAATAAATATCTTGCAAATTAAAATCTTCATATACATATTGTGATTATATATTATATATTGTCACAGATAATATAATATTTTATAAATGTAATATATTAAATAATTATTATTATATAAATTTATTAATGTGATTGATTTTTCATAATACATTTCAATTTTAATATAATATCAGACCTAAATAAATATCTTGCAAACTAAAATCTTCATATACCTATTGTGATAATATATTATATTTTGTCACAGATAATATAATATAATATTTTATGTATTTAATATATTAAATAATAATTATTATATAAATTTATTAATGTGATTGATTTTTCATAATACATTTCAATTTTAATATAATATCAGACCTAAATAAATATCTTGCAAACTAAAATCTTCATATACATATCTGTGATAATATATTATATATTGTCACAGATATTATATATATTGCATATAAAATTTAGCCTGATAATAAAATCAATTATTTAAATTAATTATATCTAGCAAACAAATATAATATATATTTTTTTAATTGACAATATAATATGATTCAAATTAATACATTTTATTAGATATGAACATTTTAGCCTGATAATAATATCAATATATTTAAAATGAATTATATCTAACAAACAAATATTTATATATATATCTATTTTAATTGACAATATAATATGATTCAAATTAATTCATTTTATTGGACATGAACATTTTAGTTATCAGATTATATTTAGTCTGATAATAAAATCAAATGGTGTTATATATTTAAATATAAAATTAGATAAATTTTGAGTAAATTTAATAATAAATATAAACATTTATAAAAAATTGATAAAAGATGTGTGTATTATATGTAAACAGGATTATAAAAGTTTTCAAAGTTTTGAAGATTGGTTTCAATGTAGAGTGGTTCTCTGTCAAAAAAGATTGTTATTTTATTTGTAATAATTGTAAATAGAATATTATAGTTATATATTAAAATCTGGAAAATATTTTTTTTGTCCCATATAAGAAGCCTAATAAACAACTTGATTCGACTAGCCCCATCGATGATCCGACTAACCACGGGTTCGTGGTTACTAGGTTCAAAAAATGACTTTACTAAAACCTTTCTAGAAAATAATTATTAAATATTTAAAAAATATAACAGTTTATATTTATAGGTAGATGTTTAAGGTATCTATTGGTATTTTGTAAGATCTTATATGATCATTATTTTCGGAGCTATGAAGATTTTGACAAAAATTGCGCCGACTAGCCCTGGTCTCTATATTATATTTTAGATTTACTCTATTAATTATAGGCGTGGCGAGGGGCTCCTTTCCTTCTGAAATTTACCAGTTCTCGTAAAAAATTATTGCAGGGCCGAGAACCCAAACCCTTTTTTTAAATTTAGGGTTTTTAAATTTATTTTCTCAATGATGATATCTTAGAAGATATCATGATAATTCGCTTAAATTAAATGTAAAAAATACAAATATTTATTTTTAAATTGTATTGTATTATTCTAACCTGTAATTATAATTTATTTTTATGATGAATACTGAATATAATGAAATAAAAAATTTTTTTAACTGATCTATCTATTATTAAAAAGAAATCTTCCTGGACTTCAAAACCGAACCTGTTTCAGTAATTTTTATTGAAAGAACCCTTTTTTCAGAACATAATTTCCTACACCCCCCTCTCTCCAAAAATGTATACAATATTATCACTATAAACAATATTTTGAAAAAATGAGTAAAAGTAATTATTTTTTAATTAATGACTATAATTCAAAATTTTAAAGATAAAGTATTTTATAAAAAAAGGTAACATAGCCAAAGTCCTGCAATTAGTTGAGCTATAGACTTCCAATAACATTTATGAGGAAACCCCACCTAATAATATCACCCCCCTCTATTAATTATCTCATAGTCTTAATTTAATAGCTTCGTCGCCAACCCTATTAAACGTTATTTTATTAAGATATATTTTGAAACTTTGTGATCCGTAACCAAAATAAAATATTTTCCATAAATATATTGATGGAACTTCTCGATAGCGAACCTGATCACCAAACCCTCCCGATCAATGGTGGCTTATTATTTTCAGCCGCCGAAAGTGTCCTCGATGCGTAAGCAACGATTTCTCCTGGCCAGTAAAAAATCAGTATGCAATAACAGCTCCAAGACCATCTTCGGAAACGTCATAAGATATTATGACAGGAATATTGGCTGAGTAAACAATATTGTATACTCTTTTGATAAAATATTTTTAACTTCATAATTCTTTCATATTTGACGGTGTTTTACAATTTTTTAGGCAATAATCTTATCTTCTGTGGGATGAATTTCGAATTCGTCTATAACATGACCTAAATAACTGACTTTTCTCCAATTTTAATTTAGCAAATCTTCTTAATACTTCTTCTTGATTAACTATATGATCAAAATTATTTTCTCCATTATTACGTCGTCTAAAAATACACTAACCATAGGAATTCTCTTTAATTGGTTTTGCATAAAGCGTTGAAATATTATCGGAGCGCTTGTCAACCCAAAAGGGATTCTTAGATAGGTAATAACCGACATGAGTCGAAATTACTAAAAGCTTCCTACATTCAAGACTACTCAGAATTGTTAAAATGCATCTCTTAAATCTATCGTCAAAACTATTTTACCACCCGCGATCATATTTATCAGGGCGACAATAGTTGTTAGTATTTATCGCTAAATATTTGTTGATTGTTAAACAAAAATCTCAACATATTCGCACGGCACCTGATTTCTTTAAAAAATTAACGTTAGCATAGCCCCAGTGATTGGGGTTGTTGTTTGATCCACCTCTTCGATAGCGCCTTCGTCAAAAATTCTGTTCAACTTAGCTTTAAAGGTTTGAAGCACAGAAATGGAACTCTTCTCCTAATTTTTTTAAACTTGAGAAAATTTCAATGCAATTATTTAAAGTGGGAACATTCATATTTATTTTATTTATCCGAACTTCTGGAAGGTTTATATCGAATTCTCTAAGAAAATGTATTCCAAAAATAAGGGAATTCTCTCCTTCAACTACCCAAATAGGTTAATATTTAGAAATGTTTTTTATTTCACTTACTGTACATTTATCCAACACTTCGATTTTGATATTATACCACACTAGTTTATACGCAGGCGATAATGATAGTTTGCCATTGCGTCTCCCATATATCACGCAGTACCGGTATCGAATTCCATTGTAGATCGCCAACCATTTATCTTCGCATCAATGGTAGATTTATTAGGAAATGACAGGCGAGGTGTCCGCAGTAGAATCATCTGTATGGTATTTAATAAAATGAAAAGATAAAGATACATTAATTGAAAATACATTAATGATAATATAGATCAATTAACATATCGTTGAGTAAATTTTTTCCTAAAACAAAAATACAATTTGTTTATTAAACATTACAAATAACAAATATGTTTATTATATATGAAAAAAATTTTATACTTTTTATTGGTTTATTTTTCTTCCAATATTAATAGCGTTTTTTCCCCAATGATATATCCGCTTCTCTTACACAATTTTTTTATTGGGTTACATTTCTTTCATTTATTGGATCCTTTTTTTTTAAACATGTGTTTAATCACATCTATTTCATTTATTTAATATTTTTATGGTATTTAATTTTTTCGATTACTTATATTTTTTAAGTATTTTTTTATGAGTATTTATTTTAACACTAATAAGAGAGTGGTTTATATAATTGGATTATATTTTTTACACAGTATTTTATTTTTAAATTGATATTATGGCGAAATGCATGTTAAAATATCTTTAGATATAATAGAGCTAGAGGCTTCATTAATTTTTTTATATAGATAATTGGTAGGATTTTACAGTGGCAAATGTTAAATATTGTTAAAAATTTTAAATGTCAAAAATCGGAAATGACTATAAAATCAAATCGGCATTTTTTTCTCTCAAATTTTTTTTATGAATAGTTAAAGCATAGGATTAATAAATAAATGTGCAAATTTTCAAGTTGGATCGAGAACAAGTATATAAGATAGGATTTTAATCATAGGTCAATTGTAATTTTATTTAATATTAAAAAAAAAAGTTAATTAAGATCTGAAAAAGATTTCATAAGGATGGGAGGGCTTAATTCAATTGATGAATTGAAATTTCTCTCCTAATAAAAATAACTATACAAACATGGAAAATAGATGAAATAGAAGATAAAGAAACTAAGTTTGACATTTATATCTAGAAGATTATATGTATCCATTGTTTGATGAAGAGGAAGTGAGATACTTGAAATTGAAAACTGCATGTGAGAAGGCATATATTGCGATTAATTATATGGTTTGTGTAAATAAAATTTCCTATACAAAAATAAATTTAAGAATAAGAGGCAAATTAGAATATATTATTGAGGAACAACATAAAAACTTATATAACTTAAGAGCTTTGATTATAATAAATAAAGTAATTGTTCTACATTCAAAAAATTTTGAAAAATTAAAATTGTGATCTCTCAGTCTCAGATAATATATCGTTAATGTCTGGACTGATATATAGGATCAAGATACAATTTTTTTTATAGGCTCTATGTAATATAAGTAGAGATAAATATTTACCACTTTTGGCAAATAAACTAACTCAATAAAGGATCAAATAATTAACTTAAATCAAATTACCTAATATATATTTTTCACATGCACCTTTCAATTTCAAGTATCTCATTTTCTCTCCATCAAACATTGAATACCTATAAGTAGTGTTGTTAATCGGCTTAGCCGAGTCGGCTCGAACAGAGCTCACCCAAATTTTGGGTCGTTTTTTTCGACTCCAACTCAAAGTATTGGTCGTTTTTTACGACTTCGACCCGAGTTCAAGCCGAAAAAAACGACTTCGACCCAAAATATGGGTCATTTTTTTCGACTCCGACCCAAGTCCAAGCCGAAAAAAAACGACCTCGACCCAAAATATGGGTCGTTTTTTACGACTCCGACTCAAAATTTGGGTTGT